CCTGTCGCGTGCACTACAATAATCAATATATCGATTTTTGGCACTTTTCCTTTTCTTGGGGTGCATGCGCACCTGGAAGAATTTTGGTTGTGATCGCAGAGAGTTTGTCGTTGAACCTTGATAATGATCTTGCGTATGATGACGTCTGACCTCAGCGGTCTCAGCTATAGAGCTATTTCCGTCGTTCCGCTACCGTAGATATGCGGTGCCGGAGCGGCAAAGTGATTGTCATGACACGAACATAAGTTATGTTGCAATCCGAGCCACCGAGAGTTTAAAACCAAGCGTGCGCGTTCAGATGGTTTAAAGTTTTCTGAAGGTGTTGTCTACTGCATATTTACTATGGACTCTTACAGTGCGATATTTACCGTAACCCGACCAGACGATCAACCTCCGCCGACTTCAAGAGATCGATTTGTATTCAAGAATAGGACGAGATATATTATTCTGCTCCTATCTACACTATGTTTGTCAATTGCTCAAAGCGATACGCTCACGCTGAATTTCACAATTATCTGTATGGCTGGGGATCCGGTCGATATCAACCAGTACAACTCGTCTGGGACAGTTTATGAAACCGAAAACGGAACATATTACGAGGTAATTGATTCAAGTGCTATTTGCCTAATTTTGTCAATTAGTCGTTTTTCCTAAAAATCAGTAAATGCGCAGTAGTCTTCTTCTTTCATCGTTTTCACTCCGGTAATAATGTTTACAGTAAATTTAGCCTTTTTTGAAAATTTATTGCTTATTGTAAGATTTTATTCTTACACGTGACTTACTGACAGTAAAATTCGAAAAAACTACTTATTCCCTTTTGGCTATTTCGGAATGTGTGGTAGAGTTGCTCTATAAAGCTGTATTGCTAAGCGCAAGAAGTTCCTCCGCGCGTAAGCAAACGTCGTTTTCAGTAAAAATAGTGTATGCAAATTAAATCTCCTTCGATCTTTATTCTTAAAAAATTCGCAACGTTTTGATTAGCAGATTTTCTTTTGTGATAGTCCTTAGATTCTATTGTGAAAAAACTGTTGAAATTTATTCCAGAGGGTCGATGGGCGGAGCTTATCCGTTTCCTTACTGGCCATCCAGAGGTGTAAGCCTTTCTGCACCGATCCGTCGCTCCGCTCATTTTCGTCAACCAATCAGTTGACGGACTAATCTAGATCTGACCAATCAGAGGCGAAGATGAGAGTGAGCGGAGCGACCGGCTACGGAACGGTCGTCTCTCACTATTTAGCAATTATCGAAGAAACTTTTTGTTGCCAAGTAGCTGATGTAAGACGTTCGCATAGTATTCTAATCTTGTGAAAATTGATATAGATTTTTAGAAAACGCAAGAAGTACGCTCCGCTCAATCTGTTCTTGCTGGATTTTCCTATAAACCTATAATGTTATGGCTTATACTTCCTGTACAAGCATACTCTTTGAAATTTGGAATTTTTTGAACATAAGCTCTAGTGTTTCTATCGCAAGCTTAAAAAATGCGAAAACTCAAATGTCCTCCACGCAAATGTGAAGTTTTTTTTTTTGCCGAATCTACATTTTTTCACACTTCCCTTAAGTGCAACTGGTGTAAGGGCATTTTGCATTTTTGATATCCCTATCCTTCTGTTACACTTTTAAGAGGCTAATACTCTGCAAAAATTCGATTCGCTGACATCATCATCAAGACAAAGCTGGTTTGTTCAGCAGTTCAGCTTTCCATCAATGAAACATTGAGTAAACTGGTCTTAATGTATCAATGAACCTTTACGTTTGTCGATGAACTGCCGCATAAATCAGTTCGAGATAGTGATTGTTTGATCGAAGACACACGTCATATGCCTTATACGGTACTCCCATTATATGAAGAGCTTTAGAATATTTTGTAATTGTAGAAGTGTAGAATTTTTTTTGCAGACAGGCAGTACTACGCATCTTTTGGAATATGATGCAGCCGTTTTGGCCCAGAAACGCTATGCCTATTCATCGAATGAGAAGAATATGCTATTCTCAATTGTTGCCGTTGGAGCCATGGTGGCTGTGTATCCGGTGATGTGGCTAATTCAGGTATGTCGAGGTTCGGCAAATGGTAGTCATCGGATTGAAATTAT